TAATTATTAGAGAATCAGCAGTCACCCATACTAGTCAAGAGATTTGGTCACTGTTGTGGCTTGGACAATGTTTGTGTTTTGTCTGTGCTCAGACATAATTATGGACTGGTCTTGCTTTTACCATAATCCGTCATGACCACCGAGTGGCCTTGTCTGATGCTGTTCTGTGAAATTGTTTATGTTCAACAGGAGAACATCAAGGCCAAGGTGATAGTCCTAGACCAGCTTCTGGATGTCAGGGGCTGCTTTTCTCTTTCTCAGCTAGAACTCTGCTTGAAGCAGGTTAAGAGCTCAATCAGTGTTAGTTAAAGGAACAAATGAAAGTGCTTAGTAAACAAGTCAAGAACATCAAGTTACTATCTTTATTTCACAGTTGCCAAAGTAACATTTTGAATGAACTTGTATCATTTTTAAATGATTTTTTTCACATAAGAAAATTGTGTAGTGATTAATTTAATATGATTACTGAATTAAGTGAAACAGATACTTGAAAATCTACCTAGAATGAGAATTAACTATATCCAACATGGATAATTTGCAAGAATAGGAGAAGGGATGTATTCTCTTCAGCTGTTCATCACCCTTAATTCCTAGCATAACTTTATATATGTTGGATGTTTTCTGTAAATAATATTATATATTACTGTATACAGTACCTGAGATAAGAACAGAAATCCATTAAATGTTTTCTACACTTAAAAAAAAAAACCCTCATAATTGATTACTAATTCTGAAACTTTTAATTTGGGTTTCCCTTTCCTTTACAGTAAGAGGGACCTCTGACAGAAATGAGTACTTTTAAATTGTAAACATTATCATATAATTTAGTTAACATTTATTGAGAGTCACCTCATTTGACCTTCATAAAATCCTTTAAATAAATGTTACCATCCCCATGTAACAGATGAGGAAATCGAGGGTTCAAATAACTTGCTCGAGGTCACATGTTTATTTCATAGAGGTGGGATCCAAACCTACGTCACTTTGACCCAAAGCCCATGCATTTAATCCCTATTACATGTAATGGCTAGCACAGCATTAGGCGTACCGTAGGTGCTTATCAAACATTTTTAAAATGGAAACTGATTCCTTGATAAACTCAAATGCTGATGATACCATAATGTAAAAGAACCTAGAAATAAATTGACCTCTGAGTTTATAATAACTAATAGAGCAGATATGTGATGTGAAGAGAACAGAGATATATGTGAAATAAGTCTAAAAGATCAAAATGGCTCATAGACCTACAAGACATCGACTGTTTTCATAAAATTAAAGGACAAATGTGCCAATCAGAAGTGAGATCTAAGAAGGTTAAAGTTGGCTTTGTCCATCCAAACACATTCCCGGAAAAGATCTTCTTGGGCTCAAGGAGTCCATCTCTTTCATTCTGGTTGCTGGCACCTCATTAGTGAAAAAATAGATCTATCCATCTCACTCATCTCATCTCACCTTAATGCTCTTGCAACTTCCTGATTAGAAGTTGTCACCCTTCCTAGTTGTCCAAAGTCACTGCAGGCTGAAGAAATTCCTGCAACCAGGCACCTCGACAACCATCATTCTTACTGTAAATTACTAAACTGACATCTGGATTTCCACCTCACTGGGCAAGTTTGGTCAGAACACCTCTGAAAGTCAAGTTTGTCCTTCAAGAATGTCCATGATGGTGTCCTGAGCCTACAGGTTATTCATTCACCCATTGCACATCTATCACCTGTTAAGTGTTACTATATATTACATATTGTTATATGTTACCTACTATATCCCAGACACTGTGATAAGCTCTAGGGATCCAAAAATGAACAAGACAGTCCTTTAAACAGCTTATAGTACCAAAACAGATACAGATGAGAAGCAGATAATGACAATGCCCTGTGATAGGTGGCCTGAGGAAATGACTAAGGAAGTGACATGATACCCTGAGATCGACATAATGTGGGAACGTAGCTAGCACAGACTTGGGAGATCCAGCAAGCCTTCCTGGGGGAAATGACATCTGGGATGGATGGGTCGGACTGGTAGGATGACAAGTAGGTGATGGTGTATATAAGTTTATTGTGGGAGTGGGGTGAGGAGAATTGCCGTGTTCCAGGCAAGGCGAACAGCATTTGCAAAGGCCTGCATCTAATCAGGAGCTGGGGACTAGCTGTTGACAGCGCCCTGTCTATGAGTTGACTGGGCCACTGTCAGCAGTCTTAAAGTTAGGATGAAAGAGCTCTAACTCTTCAGATACACATGATGGCTCATTCTTAGAGCAACAAATACTCTTCTTCTGTTTCCTCTTTTCTTTGTTGGGAGCCACGGAAACAGACGGGAAACCGAAGCCCAGGCATCTGGTGGCGCACCTCTGCACGGGATCCTTGATGACATCCTGCTTTGTTCCCTCCTGTTTTGAGAAAGGCTGTTCCCTCCCCAAAACTGTGGCTGTGTGGCAGTGTTATACACATGAGTCATTCCGCAGACCTTCACATATGTAGCACCCTTCATGCGTTCAAGTGTTCTCAGTCTGTGTACTTTTGCAAATGACACATGGCTCAGGGATTCCGAACCTGCACTTGGAAGCCTCTAACATTATTCAGAAAAGTTTTGTAGAAGGAATCCAAGAATGACTTTTACAGTGTGAGCTGAAGAGAACATTCTTCAGGATTTCAACATGAAAAGGGCAAATGTTAGTAGAGAATAATACTGGGAATGGTCCAGAATAATGAGGAATGTTGGCATATCCTGCATGGGAAGGCTTAGGCATGTGTCATCCAGCGTTGGTCTTCCTTCTGCTCCGCGCAGGAGTGCCGGCAGTGGGGGAAGGCAATGAGGGGGTCATTCTCTGACAGCCCCTAAATCAGGAACGTGGCACCTTATAGCCACCTTATAATAACCAGGTATTTGTTTTAAGGACGTTTCCCCTTTGACGTCTCATATACTCGAGATGTCCAAAGCAAAACAAATTCAATGCTTTGCTGATGAAAGAAAAAAACTTTTAATAAATATAAAACCCCAAACTCATGGAACTGAGTCTCCTTAAATTCTTTTTTGGAATGTCAATGAGTAAAATTTACAGACTAAACCACAGAGTTTTGAACAAGTTGTATTATTCATTTCATCCTTAAAATTTCAAAGTAATCATTAGACACAGTTAAATCAATCAAGAGTAAAAGTGTGCACAAAATAATTTGGAAGGGCCTTCAGCCTCCCTTACCACTCCGCACTGTCCCATTTCTCAGATGCAATCCCTGGTGTCCATTTGCTTTCGGTTCTTCTGACAGTTATTATCGCTTTGTGGTAATTCTATTCTCGACTTAATCTGTTTTACACATTGCTTGGTTTTACCAGAGAAGGAGGAGAAATATAATTAACACTGCCTCTCAGTTTCACTTGGTCCCCAAACTTTGGCGAGTTATAATTGTATTTTTCTCATTCACTTGCCTTATGACTTTAGACAAAATACTGAAAACGCTGCTTTGGATGTATTGCCTTCACATAGAAAATATTGACTCCCTCAAAACAAAACTTAGGAATAAGTTCACTTTACTCTTTTCACTTCTTTACTTTTCACTTCCTAGTTTCTTTCCGATGGTTATTTTATTACATTCATCTTACTCCATTTTGTAACTCCAACATCTTGTTCCATTACGATAGTTAACATCACTTTGCTTTTTATACAGATGATTTAAAAATTGACAGTTCATACGTAGCATTCGCAGCTTTATAGACTCAAGCCATATATTGCATCTGTGGAGAAAGAGGTCATTTAAATTCTGCTGCTCAAAGAAGAATCTTCCAGGCATCTCTGTCCTTCAGTCTATCTCAAAGTGTCCTTCAGTTGAATTTCCTTCCAGCCTTTGTGGGTCGTCTTCCCAGCCACTCCTCTCTTGCGCCACCTGTCATTCCCTTTCATGTTCTTTCACTTTTTTTTTTTTTTTTCTGTCCTGGAGTATCTCCTCAAATAAACTTTTTTGACATAGGGTGTGTGAGCTGTTAGTGGTCTGGGTTCTCATACACCTTAAAATGTATTTTCTTTTACATATGGTTGATAGTTGGCTGCATATCAAAGGCTGGGTTCAAATTATTCTACTCAGAACATTATAGTCACTGCCTCATTGCCTTCTAACGCTCAGTGTTGCTGCTGAGAAGTCCAGCATCATCAGGATGATTCTTCTAACTGCCTTTCATTTATCTCTGTGAAAGCTTTTAGGATTTTTTCATATGGCATATGGTTATGAATTTTAGATTTTGTTTTTAAATCAAATAAAAGATCAACATTCTATTATCATACAAATTGTTCACATTTTCAAGTGTAAGTAAATTTGTTTGCCAGCTGTAATTAATTTTAAGTGATATTTTAGGGCAATGGACAAGAAAGCTTAATAATGCAGACAATGAAATGCAAAAGGACAGAATTAAAATGTATCCATGTATCTTTAAATGGGAACTGTGATGTGATACATTTTTCCATTTTTATTATCAAATATTTCCATGTTATTTCAAAATTTATTATAAATATCAAACAAAAGCATATTTATAACATAGATGTAATTATATAAAGAACTTGGTAAAAAAGAAAGAACACCTGGGCATCCATTCTCTAGCTTTAGTCTAATTGTCACCTGCATGATGTTAGTAAATTATTTGAGATAGATTCCTAATTAGACATAATGATTTTATCCCCAAATGATTGTTGTTTAAACCACTTACTGTCACATTTATTGTTTTCTTCTACATGTTTCTTAATGCATTTCTATCACAGAGCTTTAATTGACTTCAAAGGAGCTCAGCATAAGGAGGAACTATGTGGGATACAAAGAAAGAGCTAGACTTGGCTTTCTATAAACATACCGTGTATTCTGTCTGAGTCACAGCCCTGTGTTGACTGTTTACCTTCCCTGTTGTCAGCACTATAGAGCTAACACCAACGACTTAGAAGTGAGTTACATGCTATTCTTAGGTTATTACAACCAGCTCTTGATAACTCAGGGACTCATTATGTACTCTGTGAACTGGTTTCTCTTCCCTACAGTAGCCTGGAATATGGCTTTGGGATGGAGCATCAGACTCTTTAAAACCAGAACTTTTATCACAATATCAAAGTGTGAATGAGAAGAATGAGAAAAGACCAAATTCAGACTGCAGGTATGATACTTACTTAACTCAGGTTAAAAGATTTGATCAATCTTCAGTGGACACAGAATTGTCTGACATCTGTAGAACTTTCTAACTTAAAATTCTTTAATATTATTAGAGAGGAAGCTTGAGCTTTTGGCTAAAGTGTTGACGGAGATAATTTTTAGTCAAGAAAAAAAAGGTATCTTGATTCTTGATGGAAGGATCTAACAATTAGAAGGGCTTCTGCTCCAGGGTGCCTGGGTAGCTCAGTTGGTTAAGCATCCAACTCTTGATTTCAGCTCAGGTCTTGATCTCAGGGTGATGAGGTCAAGCCCCACATTGGGTTCCATGCTGGGCATGGAGCCTACTTAAAATAAAAGGGGGGAGGCTTATATTCCTTATTCTTCTTTAATATATATATTTATTTAAATAATATAGAATATTACTAATCATCAGGGAAATGCAAATCAAAACCTCAATGGGATATCATTTCATACCTATTAGAATGATAATTAGCAAACACACAACAGGTAGCAGGTGTTGGCGAGGATGTGGAGAAAAGGGATCCCTTGTGCACCATTGGTGGGAGTGTAAGTTGGTGCAGCCACTATGGAAAAGAGTATGGGGGTTTCCCAAAAAACTAAAAATAGAGCTACCATATGATCCAACAATCCCACTCTTAGATATATATCCAAAAGAAATGAAATCACTATTTTGAAGAGGTATCTCCACTGCCCACATTTAGTACAGCACATAAGCCAAGACATGGAAACAACCCAAGGGTCCACTGATAGATAAATGGATAAAGAAAGTATGTAATGTGTATCAGTGTGTATATATCTATCTATATATAGATATATACCCACATGCATATATATATATATTATAAATACATGCAATGGAAGAAAATCCTATTTTGCAAATGACAACATGGAGGGACCTTGAGGTGCATTATGCTAAGTAGAATAAGTCAGACAGAAAAAGACAAATGCTGTATGATTTCATTTATTTGCAGAATCTAAAAAAGCTGAACTCAGAAATAGAGTAGAGTAGAACAGAAATAGAGTAGTTGCTAAAGGTGGGGGGAATGGGGGAAATGGGGAGATGTAGGTCAAAGGATACAAGCTTTCAGTTATAAGATGAATAAGGGGGGCGTCTGGGTGGCTCAGTCGTTAAGCGTCTGCCCTCGGCTCAGGTCATGATCCCAGGGTCCTGGGATCAAGCCCTGCATCCGACTCCCTGCTCCGCGGGGAGCCTGCTTCTCCCTCTCCCACTCCCCCTGCTTGTGTTCCCTCTCTCTCTCTGTCAAATAAATAAATAAAATCTTAAAAAAATAATAAGATGAATAAGGTCTGGAGCTCTAATAAACAGCATGGTTTTAAAAAATAAAATAAAAGAATACAGAATAAAAGAATAAGTATCAAATAATATGAGCATTATTGAGTATGGTTTAAGAGCCTGGCTTCTGGGTGGGTAGCAGTCTGTTTTAGAATCTTGGTATTTTTACTTACTACATATATAACTTGGTAAGTTATTTAATCTTTGACTGCCTCAATTTACTTGTCTCCAGAATGGTGGTGTTAGTGTTCCTCAATAGATTATCGTGAAAGTTAACTAAAATAAAGCAAAGACTACTTGCTTAGATGCTTTCTTCTTCTTCTTTTACCTAATATATATTTTCTTATTTGATGATACATTTTTTTCAGCCTTCAATTAGACACTAATTCCTCTAAGGTAACCTCCCATGACTTTGCCCCCCAAATCCAGGTTGCATGAACCTTCCACATGTATCTCAAGCCCCCTGTATTTCACCTACCATGTACCACCATATTGCAGATTTCTATGACTGTCATTCCTGATTGCACTGAGATCTTAATGAGAATGGGGTAATAGCATCTTGATTGATACTTAATAAAGGACTCCTTGTTTTCCTAGGGCTTAGAACACTGCCTAGAGCATAACAGTGCTAAAAAAAATATTTATACAGATTATTAAGAATTTTTTTTATCCACACTTATACAGTCAATTGATTTTTCCACCAAGGTGCTAAATCAATCCAAGGGGGCAAGAAAAGTCTTTTTGACAAGTCTTGCTGTAATAACTAGATATCCATATGGAAATAAAAATGAACTAGGATTCTTTCTTACTTCACACATGAAGATTAAGTCTAGATTCATTCTAGATCTAAATATAAAATGCAGAACCTGAAAACTTTTTGAATTGCTCTATTTAGTAGTCACTAATATATATGTCTATTTAAATTTTTAAAAAATCCAAAAATCAGTTCCTCAATCATACTAGGCAATTTTTTTGTCCCTCTCTCTCTCTTTTTTTTAACTGAAGCAAAGTTGACACAAAATGTTCATTAATTTCAGGTTACAACATAGTGATTTGACAAGTCTGCATGTTATGCCTGTGTTCACAAGTGTAGCTACCATCCATCCCCATACAATGCTATTACAATCCCATTGACTATATTTCCTATGCCGTATCTTATTCCCATGACTTATTCATTCCATAACTGGAAGCCTGGATCTCCCACTCCCCTTCACCCATTTTGCCCATCCTCTCACTTCCCTTTCCCCTGGTAACCATCTAGGCACATTTAAAGTGCTTATGAGCTAGATATGCCTAGAGACTACTGTATTGAATAGGGCAGCTATGGCAGAAAGTTCAATCATCCAAGAAAGTTCTATTAAGATCGTGCTATTCTAAAAGAAAACATGTGAAAATATCTTTAAGACCTTGGCATAGGTAAAGATTTTTTGGATAGAACACAAAAACACTAAATCATAAAAGAAAAAAAAATAATGCTTTAGACCTGTTCAAAATTTCTAAGTCTCAAAAGTCACCACTAAGAAAATGAATAGATAAGCCAAAGACTAGAAAAATATATTTATGATAGGGGCACCTGGGTGGCTCAGTCATTAAGCATCTGCCTTCAGCTCAGGTCATGGTCCCAGGGTCCTGGGATCGAGCCCTGCATCGGGCTCCCTGCTCCGCGGGAAGCCTGCTTCTCCCTCTCCCACTCCCCCTGCTTGTGTTCCCTCTCTTGCTGTGTCTCTCTCTGTCAAATAAATAAATAAAATCTTTAAAAAATTATATACATATATTTATGATACATATATCTGACAAAGAATTTGTATCTAGAATACACAAAAAATTTCAATCAAACCAGCAATACAAAAATGAGCAACTAAACAAAATAATGACTATTGAAAAGGCATTGCACAAAGAATATATGAATGAGGAATACATGAATGAAAAGAATATATGAATGAGGAATACATGAATGAAAAGGTACTCAATACCATTAGTTGTCAAAGAAATGAAAATTAAAACCACAAACCACAATGAGATACCATTTCGTGCTCATGAGAATGGCTAAAATTGAAAACACTGACAACACAATGTGTTGGCAATGATGTAGACCAACTAGATCTCTCCTATATTGCTGTGGGGGCAGGTTGTAAAATGGTGCAGCTACCACGGAGAATAGTTGGGCACTTTCTAATAAAGGCAAACACACATCTAACTTATGCCCCAGCAATTCCACTGCTCTGTATTTACTGACTGTTACAGCCATCTTTGTGATTGTCCTACACTGGAAACAGACTAACGTCCATCAACAGAAGAAAAGATAAACAATCTGTGGTGTATTTGTATGGTGGAAGGATACATACAATATCATGGCTGAACCTCAAAAGCATTTCAGGTGAAAACAGCCAGACACAAAAGTTTAAATACTATAAGGTTTAAATTATGTGAGGTTCAAGAACAAGCAAAATTAATCTATAGTGTCATAATTCAGAAAGTAGATGCTCTAGGAGCAGGGGAAGGGATGAATTGATTAGAAAGGGGACTAAGGAACTTTCTAGGGTGATAAAAACATTTCACATCTGGTTTTGGGTGGTGGTTACATGGATCTGTTGTCCGCATCAAAACTCATCAAACTGGGGTCAGGAGTGCAAAGAAAGACTCCAGATGGATATGAAAGAAGGACACAAATCAGGGTCTCAGGAGAATGAACCAGATAAAGGTTTAACTGCTGGAACATTTGAGCACATAGTTACCATAATCAGGGAAAGCTAGAGGAGGCACTAGTCAGAGAAGAACCAGCCCCAAACATGGCTTGATGTTAAACCACCCAAGGGTGGCCAAGGACAGAAAAGCCTCCCCACCTCACTACAAACAACTGGTTCTAGTATATGGCACAGGGATGGGGGTTATGGAGAGTGACTGTGCAAGCAAAGTGCTGGCCAGTTACAGTGGGATTTTAAGCTTAGATCCCACACTAAAATGGCCACAGTTACGCTAGAAGTCCCTGCCCCATTTAAGTAATAGTCCTCCTGATTGAGGGCTAAGTTATAAGTAGTGGTGAGGTTACTGTACGTCTTTCCAAAGTTTTTCATTTAAAACTGAGCTTCAGCATCTTCTCTTCTCCTCCTATCTTACCCTTTCCACTTCCATATCCCAACTTCTCCCTGACCTTATTCAAAGATACGAGTATTTCCTACAAATAGTTACAAAGACGGCAAAAAAATCTCACTGTTAAAGGTTGTTCAACAAGACCATAAAAAGCAAATTGGAGGCCAGAAATTGTATGAAGGGAGAGTGATATTTGTGGTGAGAGAAAAAACACAAAATCTAGATCTATGTTGAGCCAGATATTTTGGTGCAAGATATACATGGAGGAAATGAGAGATAGATGATAGATAGATAGATAGATGATAGATAGATAGATAGATAGATAGATAGATGATAGATAGATAGATAGATAGATGATAGATAGATAGATAGATAGATAGATAGATAGATAGATAGATAGATAGATATAGATGATAGATAGATAGATGATAGATAGATAGATAGATAGATAGATAGATAGATAGATAGATAGATAGATAGATAGATGTATCTATCTCTCATTGGTCTCATTTTCTACAATAAGAGATATAGATGTCTATATAAAACAGGCCAAAAAGATTTTTTTAAAAATGATAGTCAGAACCCTGGTGCCCAGAGCCTTAATCTATTTGCTTTCTTCCTTCTGTCCTTCCCTTCCTCCCTCTTCTCCTCCTTTTCCTTCTTCCTTTTCTTCTTCACAGTGGTGATCATAAATTAAGTCAAAGGCACAGTGGAAATGAGAGCTCAGGGAGAGAGGCACATTCATGAAATGCCAGAAGAAGTAAGTGATCGACATTTTCCTCTATAATTCAAGGAATTGCATTGTTACAAGCCATCATGTTTAGATACTGTACATAATGTGGTGTAAGGAGAGGAACGGTGGTAACAGAGTGGGCCTCCTTTTTCACACACCATTGCCATCCTGGAGCATCATGAAATAGCAGAAAACATTAACTTTGGAATCAAAACTAGCTTTAGTTATGTTATATGATTTGAACAGGCTATGCAACACCTTTTTTTTTTTTAAGATTTTATTTATTTATTTGACAGAGAGAGAGAGAGAGAGAAGGAACACAGCAGGGGCAGAGGGAGAGGGAGAAGCAGGCTCCCCGCTGAGCAGAGAGCCAGATGTGGGACTCGATCCCAGGATCCTGGGATTATGACCTGAGCCAAAGGCAGACTCTTAATGACTGAGCCACCCAGGCGCCCCTCAAAACTTTTTTAATCTCAGTTTCCTCATCTGACAAATGGAGATGTCAAGGAGTATTTCATAGGATTGTTTTGAGACCTGTGATTGCCCCTGATCTGATTGCCCCTGATCCAGTGAAGGTCAGTTCCCTTCCGTGTGCTGTACCTTTGGACAATTTATGCCTTCCAGTTCTCCCCAACATAACCATCGTTGTCCTCTTCAACAAAGATGCAGGACAAACGTAAGGTGACTCTTGGAAATAAAAATAAAAACACTTATGTTTATAAAGTACATCACAGTGTACAAGTGTTTTCACATGTGTAAATTAAGAGGATCTGGGGAAAGGAAATGAGTAAGCAGATGAAAGAGAACCCTTGGAACCTACTCATCTTCTGGGTAATCCACATATATGCTCACCCAGAATTTTCTACTTTTGTTTGCTTCAGCATTCAAGTGACTAGAGAGTTGCAAACATTTAAGATTTATTCACTGCTTTCAGTGAAATTATTTTATTAGTATAATGTATCATATATTGTTTCACTCATTCATTATTTAATGAATATTTATTTAATATAAATATATTTAAAAGCACCATGTGCCAGGTCCTTCTCTAGACATTGGAGATGAGCAGTGAACTCGACATAGGAGGTCCCCGCTCTTCTTGTAATGGAGGGACACAGACAATAAACAAGTATAAATAAAGGCAGTACTTTCAAATGTTGGTAAAACATTTGAAATGAGTTCGAGAGGGGTGGGGTGACCATGGCTACTGTATACTGAAAGGGTCTGGGAAGTTCTCTTTGGTATGCATTTGAGCATGGATGAATGATGAGGAAATAAGATTTAGGAGGACATTGTTCAAGGCAGAGGGAATAGCAAATGCAAAGCCCCTTGAGGCTAGAATCGTTTTCGGGCATAATATATTTCCCTAGGAGCCCTTAAGAACAATCATAAAGCAGGACTAATAATTGCATGGAATTGTGTCATCTGTGAAAAAGCAGAGTTACAGACATATCCAGCCACCCAGGTTCAACTGCATAGAAAGGTCTACGATCCATTTGGTATCCAAGTTAAATAATCCATGATCATGTCACATCCACAAGGAGAACCAGGCTCATGTATTCCCAGAAGAGATTTGGTGAATTACTTAATATAGTGAGTTGTATTAAATTTTATTCTTTGACTTTTCTGACCATTTGAGGAAGTGTCCAGGGGAATGTAGGGATGGGAGAGTTTGGATCACATACACTCCTCTGCTTTCACCCCTACCTTCCTACTCCACTCTCTACAGAGGCAGCTGTGACACCTCGCATGGACAAGGAAATGATGTATGCCTCCTACCACCCACTTAGAAATACTTTGGTGCCATTGGTCATAATTGTCCTTCTCTCATCTCCACCCCCATTTCTAGCTCCACCTACCCAGATGAGAACATAGAAACTCATTTGGAAAATGTGATCTAAGTGGTCCCCAAAGTTAACCTTGCTTATCCTTGGGTGGTTACATTAAGGGTGATTTTTTTTCCTTGTCCACTTCTGTGTTCAATTGTTTTTTGCAACAAATATAAAAAGTTATAGTTTTAAAAAAAATTTAAATATATTGTCTCAAAAATATATATGTTGTCTCATAAAACTACTTAATATCAGAAAATGGCCTTTATTTTTCCAGGGACTACAGTGGGTCTCCAGCCATTACATGCTGAAGGAGAGGCATTAATTACCCGAGATACCTGAGCAGCCTTGTTTTCCACAGGCGTACCCCTCTTGGGGCAAACAGAAGCAGTGAAAATCTTTACTCATCAGAGAGATAAATGACGGTGGGTGGATAAGAGTACCTACTTCATTTTCTTTATCTTAAGCATTCTTCAGAGAACTATTTTCAGTAGCAAAGATGTCAGAATGCATTTAAAATAAGTTTGGTTCCATAACAAATGTTAAGGACATCTCTCGAACAAAGGGAATTAAGCTTACTGGGTGTAGCATGAGCTGGGGATAAGATAAACAGTTTGGAAAAGGATGTGATATCACTCAACTCTTTAGGAAAGCATTTCTGTGCTGAGAGCTGCAGGCAGAGGAAATGGGAAGGCGGGGAGAACATGGACTGCTTCCAGAGGAGGCGATGGGTCATGGAGAATGAAATGAGTCAACAGGTAGCAGAGGGCGTGCAGTGAGGGGTTGGGGAAGAGGGAGGAAAGGAAGCAGTGGGGCCTTTGAATGACCTCCCTCCCACACCCATGTACACACACCAGGCTCCTGGGGTACATGAACAGTCCTCAGTGTCCTGAGAGTGACTGGGTTCCCCCAGCAACCAAATCGCTGCCAGAAACTAGCTTGGCTCTGGGGGAGGGTCTGACACACCACAGTTCGTGGGGTGATGAAAGTAGAAGAATCATTGCAATAGAAGAGCTTTGTGCATTGTTGGCATTGCAGTCTTCTATTTAGAAAGGTTGGGAAGGAAATGAAAAATCTTTTTTTTCTAGATAGTGCAAAGATTTTGAAAGAGTGGACAGTGCAGCTGGGGCATCAGGGGCTCAGAGGAGCAGGTATTTACCAAGTAGTTCAGAAGCACTGAAGATTTTAATGATTAATGTGACTGTATAAATGTATGTCAGATGAATATAAATTCTGATGACATTAGAACAGTGCCCAAATGCTCCCTCCCTCATGAACGTGAATCAATGGTTGCAGCATTTTTTTTTTATGTTTTAAGTTTAATCAACGAATCTGAGCATGCTTCCTTGATCAGTCATCAGACATTAATGTTGATAATAGAAAAAATTTTGAAACTTTCTTTACGGCTCCAGATCTATCTCCAAAATTGAATTATTATCAGAAGGATTTTATAGGTCCAAATCTAGATTTCATTCATGTATGGAAACAATGTTTTAATGTATACATGCATTTGGAATATCTCAGGACCTGGAAGAACTCATTTAGCACAGCCTTTCCAAGCATGTTTTTTAAAAGGTAATCAGAAGAGCAAATAAACAGTGCTGATCATAAATTGTTAAAAAAAAAAAAGTACTAATAAGAAAGATTGATTTTGTTTCTTCCATTGATGAAAACAAGAGAAGAGACTATCTCGTATTCAGCTGAATTCCGCCAGCATGTCTAGATGGAGTGGCTGTCCGCCAAACTGTCCAAAAGAGAGCAAGCCTGGGAAGTCGCTCTCCAGCACTGAGGTGGACTGCTCCTACAAGCCTGCTGCTGATTAAGAGCCACATGTTCCAAGGGCAACAAGAACTTGTGATTCTGAGAAATAAGACTGACTCTGTCCAGTTGGGTGGCTCAGAATTTCCTTGGTTGTGGAAGGAATAAAAAAAAAAATGAGAAACTTGGAGACTTTGGGGCAGAATTCAGTCTTCTCTTCATGTGTTTTTTCCCGAAATAGGATGATTTAAAAAAAAAAAATCTATTGCCCAGTAGATGGATGGATAGATAGATAGATGATGATGATAGATAGATGATAGATAGATAGATAGATAGATAGATAGATAGATAGATAGATAGATAATTTTTAAAAATCAGGCTTGGGTCACCAGTGAGTGGTATGACTGTAATCTTTGTATTCTTCTATTTCAACCAACTCATTAATTCTTATTTTTCTGCTTCCTCCTTCCTTCTTCTTTATTTCAATCTCCTCCCCTGCCCTCCCTTCCCCTCTTTCTCCTCACTTTCTTCCTCTCAATATCTCTTCCTCTGCTCCCTCTTCCTCCCTCCATCCCTTCCTCATCCCTCCTTCCTTCCCTTTCTGCTCTAGCTCCAGTCCCACAACCTTCCTTAATCTTTTCCCTCCCCTTTCAGTGCTTCAGCACATATAACCAAGCACCGTGTGGGAAATTTCTCGGAGGGAGTTTTGTGGGGATAGGAGATAAGGGTGTACAAGAAAGATTTATCATGTGAATACTGTAAAAGGTTCAAAGTGGTGAAATATTCAGTTTTTTATAGTTGAGATCACAGAACGAAGCACATAAAATCACTTTAGATATATAAATGATTTTAGTATGTAAAAGCACTAAAACAAAGTATATTAAAATCACTTCTTGAAGAGAAGAAATGTAGAGAAAGTTGGTGGCACTGAGTTAGTTGTTTTAAGGTACCCCCGAGGTCTCTCTATATCATCTGTGTGAGGTATTTTAATTTTCGGGTGGTCACATATGTGGGAGGAACATCATTTCTGTGAACCTCTACTTCTGTGCCTCAAACTAACATGTACACCTGATATTTTTTTCCAAGTTCTTTTTTTCAATCATATCTTGTTCATAATATTTACTTTCCCATCAATAAAAATTCTTTGAATTTATGTAGGTAACCCTTGATAGCCCAAAGATCTTAAAGTTCTTTTTGGGAATTTCTTCCTTGGTGCTTAGGCACTTATAATTAAACAAATGGAAACCATTTAACTTCATACGCCTTTATAGTAATTGAATCTCATGTAACCACATGAAACAAATTAACGGACAAAATTAAAATATGACCTTGGTCTTTCTCCAATTCATGTTCTATCTTTTTGACACTGCTTCTTCTGAAGCAAACCAAACATGTTTGGAAACCAAGTAAAAAGACTTTGATTTCACTGTCACACTCCCATAGCTTCTAGAGTGATCTTTCATGAGACTGACGCGCTACCTACTGCGCTAACGAGGCACCTTAGAGCGATCTTCTAAATCATAAGTGGGATTATGTCATTCCCATGACCAGGAGTTCTTTCCATAGGAGGAAAAACCAAAACCCAAACTCCCAACCTGCCTGCCTGTACTAGGGTGGTTACCCTACCCTTTGGTTTATACCTAATTGTTTTAAAGTAATTATTAAGAATGCATTCTTTTACTCTCAGAAAGATTTTTTGACAATCAGTTAGGTAGGTGGTACTCAGTTATGACCCACTTCTTTGCCCCTTCTACTCTTTCTCTCTATTTTAGTTAACACTGGCCATCTAAAGATAAAGACAAAAATAAGGTTTCACCAGGAAGCTAAACTCTTTTGCACCTTAGGGTCACTGCCCAAATCCTCCCTCCTCCTGCCTGAAATGCATTTCTCCTTCCTCATGTGGTTAACACTTAGGCATCTTTCAAATCTGCTTCTGCCCACCCCTCCCCCGTCAGTTTCTTTCATTATACTGTTCATTGCATGTGCCATGATTTGTAATGCTATGTATGCGTATGCATTTCTTTCTTTAATATTTGCCTTCCCCAAAGGACTCTGAAGCCAGGGCAAGGGCAGGACGGGCATTCAGTTGGTTCTCACTACCATGGCCTGTAAGAGTTGCTATGGATCTGGTTTTCTCGCCGCGCATACCCCATGCCTACCAGTGTCTGGAACAGAGTAGGCGCTCGATATATTTGTTCAATAAATACAAGAAGGACAGTTACAGCATGGCCTCAGGAAATCAATTTTCATGAATTCAATTAAAATCAGCCTTTATTGAATTCTTACTCTGTGGGAGGCATGAATAGGTTGATTCAGGAACTGTCAGCAACAGAATCTAGTGCTTAATAGAAAGGCTGAATCTCAGGTCCTAGCCTACCAAATCACAAATTGTTGTTTAACAAGATACCTGGGCTATCCTAAATGTATATTAAAGTCTAAATGCACTAACTGAGTACACATTTATGTAACAAAACTGGAAAAATAAGAAGCCAAATGACTATTTATATTCTTCTCACTTTTAAGTAACCTTCATGACTTACCAAATGGACCAACTCCTATTTTAAATAAGAGTGAAATTTTTGCTAATTATTCTAAACTTCTTAAATGGTATCTCTCAACTTTCATGTAAATCTCATAACAAAATACATAATTCTGTTAGAAAGTTTCTGGGTGTCCTGTCTTGGCATGTTGTCCTAATCTAAGCAAGAATAATCAGATATGGGATCTAATCTAAAATAAGCACAAAGGTACACAGAGTTTTGAAATTTTAGAACGGTTTTAACGTAAGTACAATTGTCTCACATAAAAAAATTAGTGATTAAAGGTAAAATCATAATGATACATCATAAACTCATTCACAGCGGTGACTCACATGTCAATTATGTTATGTCTTCAAAGGCCCAATGGACTTTCACACACAAAAAAATTTTTGCCTTTTACTTATTTCAACAGAGTCCATTGATTTCCTGTTATTCAAGATTTTAAAATAAACAAGGACAATTTAGGAGGAGCCCAGCCAATAGCCAGAATGCCAGGGCCAATCAAATGATCTTTGATTCAAAGCAAATAATGTTATAAATTCCATAACTGAGCTGGTGTTCTCATTGACATGGGAGACTTCTTTATCAGCCTGAATGTCGTAAAGAGGGCAGAGAGAGCAAACTCATTCTGACAAGCTACGGCATTTGAAGTTCAGCCTTTAACATGCCATGTAGCTAGCTGCCAAATAGGAATCTTGCATATTAAGAAAATCTTAATATAGAGAGTTAATATATAGAGTTGTACTCATTAAAATTTTTTGACTCATAGTACTGAAAAAACAAGGTGAAGTACAAATTTGTCTTATAAGGCCCCAAATTCAGAACCTAAAAACACAAGGCCATCCATGAATTACTAAAGAGAGTATTTGATTGCAGTGGGTATGGATTAAGTGGGAAGTCTGAGCTCACTTCCTTTCGATTGTGTAAATACTTCAATGAGCAGAGAACTAAGTTTCAGTGAATATGAATTCAGGGCACTCTGCAAGAATACAAGGGTCCCAGGCTTCAGAAAGGAACATGAGACCTGTGGAGATGCTACTGTTGTTGAGACAGCACATTCTAGAGGAATCCATAGGACTGGACTCAAATCCTGGTGCCCATCATTTGTACGGAGGCTCATCTATGAGTGAACGATAATCATTACCTCGGAAAAGATTTAAAGGATTCAACTGAGTCCAGATAATGCATGAGACTCACTACTAACAATAAAAAGAGGACACTAGAATTAAGACTATTTTTAAAAGCACTCAGCTTTCCAGGAACTTCCAAGCACTCACAATGGTATAAAATAGCTGTATCTTAACAGCACTTTTACCAGAGGGTATCTGTGGATGCCTCTTTCATTCAGTCAACAGATATTGATTGAGAGTACGCACTGCATTGTGCCAATGACTAGGGACGCAAAAGGACACAAGGATCTTGTGAAATGGAGCTTAGAGTTTACTGGAAAGAAGTGGGTTCTTTTTAAAATAATAATCATACCATCAAAAACTGTACGAACTGTGATCAATATTATGGAAGTGAATCATAGGATGCTATCAGAATAGACATCAAGAAGAACTTAGATCACAAGGTTAAAAAAAGCTTCTGAGGGAAAAAAAATGGCATTTCATCTAAGACCCAAAGAATGAGTAGGGAAGTTGGCCAAGGCAAGGAGTCGGGGGCAGTCCCTGTAGAGGGGTCAGCATGGATATAGCTTTGAGTTTGGCAGAGTTTGCACTATTGGGCAAGCTGATCCGGCAGAGTGGTGTGAATCCAGATGAAGCTGAACTGTGCAAAGCCCTAGGGATATTTTATCCTGGACACAATGGGCTGCCATTGAAGGATTTTAAACAGATGAATGATGTGGTCTGTCACCTTGGCTTCAATGTGGAGGTTGAATTAGATGTGACAATAGTGAAAGCCGGGAGATGAGTTGAATAAGGAAGTGTCTTCAAATACAGGAACATAAATTTACCTTTAGCACACTTTTTGTGTAGGCAACTTTGCCGGAGCATGAGAAACATGAGGCTCACTGGGGCTTTACAAGCTCATATTAGAGTTCTCTTTTAGACCATTTTAAAGCATGCGTTTGCTGAGGGATTAACTAACAACTGTGCATGTTGGTTCATTTGCTTCCCAAGATACTTGTTAAGATTTCTCGTGTGCTAGTTCCCATCCTAGGTACTGGGAATAGAGCAGTGAACAAAACACATGAAGAGATTACTCTCTTCGATCTTACATTCTAGTGGAAGAAGAATTTACACAAGTAAACAAATAAATATGTAATAGAGAATATGACAATACCTACGAAGAAAAATAAATACAAGTGAGACAACAGAGTAAGGGAGGATGGTGAAATTTTGGGGTGTCCAGGGAAGATCTCCCAGATAAAGTGATTCTTGAGCACAAATAAAATTAGACTATTTAGAATCTAAGAGAATGATCATTTCAGGGACGGGAACATAAATAAGCACAAAGGCTGTGAGATGAGTGTTGCACTTAATATTGTCAAGAAACATTCTGGAATTTTGGCTAAAATTAATGTGATTGCATCATCACCACCACTACCACCATCCTCCTCCTCCTCACCACCCCAACCCACCAGCACCCCCATCATTATCATGGAAAATTGGAAAATTTTCCTGTAACTTGGAAAATTTCCTCAAGGCTTCATAGTGAGAACCAAAGACCCAATAATTAGAGAGTAATAACTGACAGACAAGATGGGTGCCCTTGTGTCAAAGGAGAGAAACTA